TCAAGGTTCCGCGACCGGCACATGATGCTAGATGACGGACGGAATCGACTAGGAGGCTGACTCCAGTCTTGCAACACGGCGTCCACCTCACTAGAGCCCGGAGAAGCGACCTTCTAGTTCAATCACAGGAGCTGAGCATTGCAATAAGTTGCAAAACGGTCGACTGCGTGAGAATGCCACTTAGCATCCACAAGACGGAAAACAAATGGATTCGGATACCAATCATCTTTATCGACAAACCCACTGAGCTGATCAGCTTTCTCATTCAGTGTTCAGGGGATCCACTGCGACTCGAGTGATATATCCTCCGCAAAACAAAACTGAAATACAGATAATGCAACCGAATGAAGGTGCGCTTTCGCACTATTCTTGTAGCGTTCTGACTATCGCTGTAAAAATTGATCCTCTTGTACATAAGCTGGTCCGCGAAGGACAGTAACACATAGCTGATAGCTTTCAGCTCACAGAAAGTAGAGCTTTGACCGAGGTCATCAGACGTGAACATACCAGTAGCCATTAAACCGTCCAGCAATGCTAAAAACCCGCCAAAGGCGACATCGATTGCATCGGAAAAGATGACAGTAGACGTATTAGGTGGTGGTCGAAAAGAGTAACCATTAGATGAATCGATGTTCGAGTACCAGAAATTCAACTCTTCCAAAAGTGCTGAAGGGAAACAACAGGTCAGATCCCATCCTGATCGAGACACGATCGCCAGGTACATTTTCCTGTTGAAAAGACGTGAAATAGGACCTACTGCTATGGAAACCGAAGTTATGGAGCCCGCTATTCCAGCTTATTTGCGGTACGAAGATGACTCGTCCGTGATTGTAGTGCCCAAAAAATTATAAAGCTTGAGCTCTTTCTTTTCTGGAATTCGAAAAGTCATTGCAACGTTGTTGATTACAAAACCCAGCCGTTCGCCTTTCTGCATAGGTTGCCAATCAGACTTTTCTTCGTTAAAAAGGAGACCTGCGGTATCTCGCTCTTTCGTTTGAATAATTGCGGCCGCGACAACAGAACACTTATCCGGTTGGCTTCCAAAACCGTCGTCGGATAAACAAAACTAGTATGCCCCATGGAACGCCGGCGCTTCATCAACGGGCGCAACAATTTGGTAAAACAATGACAAGCGCTACTAAGACCGAAAGGAAAAACTGCAAAAATAAAATATTTGAGCACGCCATCGATTGAACAAGCAAAGCCGAGATACATTTGATGCTCTGAACAGATATCCACGTGGTGATACTCCGATTTAAGGTCCCATGTATAAAACCAGTGGTTTTCCTCAAGGAATTGAATTATATACTTTTATACTCATAATTGAACTTAAATTTGACCAGATAATTGTTAATGTGTCTTAGATCAATTACTAAACGCAGCTTTTTCCATTCCGCTACTGTTAACAGGTTAACACAGAATGGAGCAACACTATTTTCAACGATGCAGCATAAGCCAAGAGCTCAGCTACTACACGGGTAACGAATTCGGAATGCCGATAGGCTGATTTGTTATTGGGCAAAAAAACACAGTCATTTTAGTTTGCAGTTGAATGGTATGCTTCAACGAGCAATCCACATTTTAATGAATGGTTAGCTTCAACCAGCGATCCACTTTCTGAATCTATATAATTACAAGCTTTTCTCTCGCCTCAACGGGAAAATGTAACTCAATGGTCGAATTATTTACCTCAACGGGCAGCCGAGATTTTGACCCAACGATCAAATTTAACGCCTCAACGGGCAAAGAATACAGTGAATAATTTGCCTGTGGTACCGAAGTCGCTTTCGACATAAAGCAGGTTGACTTCACACCTTCCTCTCTTTTCTCCCGAGACCAGCGAGCTGCAGTTGGCAGTTAACTCCTGAATGCACCGAGAAAAAATTATCTCCATGAAGTAGGACTTGATCGATATCTTGGCACCCCCCACTCGCGAATCGGCAAAAATTGCTAGGGCTCGTCAGCAACAAACTCTGGAGCATCTAAAGCGGACTTCCAAAACCCTATGGCAGAATTTAAACGGCCTTTAACACCACTGCTGTTATACCGAACATTGAACTCGTCAAAATTATCAAAACCAAACAAGAAAAGCCAAAATCAGCCGGCAACTGATAATCATCACCCGACACTGACTCAAAAGCTAGCCATTCCAGACGACAGGTCCTTCCCGATGAATCACCGGACCTTGAGCTTGAGCAGAAGGCATTAAAATGACCAAACTCTCAACGCTATAACAAAAAAAAAAAATTAAAATTAACTGCCCGTGCGGATGCGTTCACAGATCCGAAGGAGGATAACCTAATTACTCAACGCTTACATAGTGCCATTCAAATAACTTAAAAGAGAAATACCGAAACACTCCCTAATGAACACAAAATGTCCTTCAGAACGTGCAGAAAACAAATATCTGCTCAACTTCTTAACGCAGAAATTTTGATATTCTACTTTAGATGTTCGTGGTTGGGTTCTTTCTCCGTCCTCAGTCACCAGGCCTACACCTTCCAAACTGGGAACTCAGCTGAGTTTGTGCGTGGGAGCTCTTTTAATCCGTTGTCCTGCTTTCCTCGCTTCAGACATGTCCTTTAAATGTTTGGGAAGGTTTTCGCTCTACAAATTTTAAACATTTGTTTGTAGGGAGAATTGAGTTCGGGCTTAATACTCTCTTCACTGCATGTTGAACTTCCAGTTTGCGTTTCCCAAAATATAGTGCAACACTAAATTTAAATTTCCATGCACGATTTCCCGTAGGTAAAACCACTCCCAAGAATTTTGTTTATCTCATATGAAGAAGAGACGAAGATCAATGAATAACAGCCTTCCTCCTCTTTTTCTGGCCAACAAGTGGAAGCCAAAAAATCCGATGCCAATTCTTAAAATTCAGAGATGAAAAATAAGAAAATGCAAGAATGTAAGCTTTATTTACACATATGTATATGATTCATAAATTTACAGTTATGCGATTTGTATAAGTTATTGACTATCTTTAATAGTATAACCAAACACCTAAACTAGCTCTTCCTGTCGTGACTCATCTGTAGCTTTACGAAAGTCGGTTTTCTTAACAACGCTGTGCAAATAGTTCTTTTTCGTATGGGATGCGGTTAGGCAGGCCTAGTGAAAAGGGGTACTCATCACTGCAAGGAAGAGCCTGCTTACATATATCAAGAACATGAGACGGACAAGTCAATTCCCGCCTACTCAGAAGAGCAATCTCCTTAGAAAACGTTTACTTTAAGATTAAATGAAACCCTCCTAGATACATCATAGTTAGGATTAAAAACAAGAAATATGTTTACTTTCAGTCATGGATAAGAGAACTTAATCAAACAGACACATGCACAGAAAAGTTAACAAATAAGTGTGTCAAACAACTTAAAAAGTAGCACAGTGCTATCTTAAAAATTGTTCAATTTTCCTCTACAAGCTAAGAGACAAATATTTAAGGAAACTCTGATTTAAATACAACATAACGTATGCAATGAATTGAATTTTAAAAAATGTACGAGTAGTAAAAACTATTCAAAACTTTGCTCCAGTCAGAGCAGTAACTGGGGCCGTCTCCATCCTCTTATCGTTCTGCTATGGATGTAAAAGTTTTTGTTGCAGTTACTATACACAGGTGAATCCCAATTTCCATTTGAAGAGGACTTGCTGGGAGCTACGATAAATTTATTAATTATTCCCTAAAATACAGACAAAATCAGGTATTATACAAAAGGACAGATTGGCCACCAAACATAGTTATTTGTGGCGTTAACATTTTTTTTTACAAATGAGCTGGTGCAATTATTATATAAGCACTATTTTCGACGTTAATGTTGTATTGTTAGTTTCATGTGAAGAAGCGTACAATTAGGTCTGAATTAGAGCTGTTAGTGTTAATGCTGTAAAATCTTAAATGTTTTTGCTAATACCAAATAAATAAAAAAAATAGTGCAGGTTTTCTCCGTAAGTTAAGTTACATGTAGATTACAATTTTTAATAAATTGCATGTAAGCCAAGCAACATCAAAATCCGCGGAAGTTGTGTAAGCAAGTTAGTATTGTAAGTAGTAAGTAGAGAAAAATTAATTGTTTGAGTAATAATTACTCAGGTGATTAACAAAACAACCTAATTTTTCCCGAACCTTTTCTACTTTTTTTGGCTGTTTCTCTAGAAACATCAAGAGGTAACTCGGCGGCTTCATCATAATCTCTTCCAACGAAAAGAAGATTTGAAGAATATGCCGTAATGGTTAGCCAATCAAGGAAACTTATGATCACCTGAGCAATTATGACGAAAAAGATATTATCATTTTTACTGCTTATCTAGGTCTTGCGATATGGTGTCCTCCGTGTGTGATCCGCTCCGAATCCACCAATCACAGCCAGCCATCGTGCCACATGGGGCGATGGCTAGATTTAGTCAAAGAGCACAATGAGAAAAATTTAAGACATGGACTAACAATTGCCTTTGTACGCTTCACTCCTTGTGTCTTGACGCAAAAATAGTCCAAGGCATTTCTATCAATGGCCTTCACAAAATTTCTCGAAAGATTTAGCAATATTTCTTCGTCGTAACTGTGTCGATTATTACATTTTTATCTAAAATTCATTCATTTCTTTTACTATTGTTTGGTTTTTGTTTACTATGCAGTCCTATTTGCCATTACCCTACAGCTAACATTCACTAGTCATATTTGTATAGTCTGTAAAGTAAATATGTGTTACTGACCAAGCGTGAGGTCAGGTTGGCAGGATATCGGCCGACTTCTCTTTTTGCGACTTTGTTTATGGACCGAGACGAAATCTAGGTATATGAACACGCAAAAAGAAAGGAAGGAGACTGATATTCAGTCATCGTGACCGAGCAAGTTTGGTCAATAAAGGATTTATTATATAGCAAAAAGATTTCTCTTTAATAAGAATAAAGAATGACTTCTTTATTTCGAGAGCCGGGAAAGAAAACCAACTGTGTTTGTAGCACAATAAACCCACGAGGGTTGTTGATATTTTCTTTGTTTTTACTTTCCTCTGCCGCTTTTTGCGACGTTATCGCCGACATAGTCCAAAAGTTACGAACTTTGTTAGTCCGCTGCACGCACGTTTTTTCTTGCGCAGGATCAAAGCGGGCAGTCCCGAGCGAGCAAGATGGGCCCATCTTGTCTGCTCGGGTAGCCAATCAGAGCACAGGATTCGCTTCATGTTGTCCACGGGTGATTCCAGCTATATAATAACGGAAAATATCGAGATTACAGTTAAGGTTATAAATATGAACTATCATAATTTATAATCTACCTGACGGTTTTTTTTTTTTTTTTTTTTTAAATATGTTAATCTCCATCGAAATTTAGATAAGTGTTCCCTAGGAGAGGCGTACTTGAAGCAAGAAAGGAATATCCTTGAATATCTGTAGGTTCAGTATTAGCATAACATAGCCCAAAAAGCTACATCATAGTCCCTGGTGGATCAATGGCACCAAAAATAGTTCGTAACATGAAGAGGACGAACAACAGGGAGTAAAAATTCTTCGTCAGGCATGATGCCCAACATGTCGCGACCAAGACTTCTTGAGCATCGCACCACTTGAAGAATCAAGGATGTCAGAAAAACGTCTCATCGGAAATCTTGTGGTTTTCTTCGAAAGGGAACTCCTCGTCCAAGCGACGCTCGCGCTCTGCAAATGTGTGTTGAATAGATTTCGCTTCTTCTCTTTACTTGCAAGGATTGGGAGTGGAAAGGTGGGTGAGTTTGAGATTGTTCCCATAAATTCGAATTTGATGCATGAATTTGATACATTAACCTGTGAAACCGAGTGAATACGACAAAACTACGATTTTCTTTTTAATTTTTCTGCAGCTCTTGCCCAAGTATGTTTACCCTTTTGTAACGTCATCGATCCAGTGATAGCCAAATCAAAGAGTACAGATTATTGTAAAAGCGAGAAGCAAAGCTTTTTCGCATTACGGTCCAAACCCGCTGGTGGATTGGATTTTTCAGATTTTGTTGAATTCAGTCAGCAAATACGTTATTCATTTTCCAGGCGTAGTCGGTTTGAATCACTTGGAGGATTCCGATATGGAAGGTTTAAGTTTTCCAACCTAATTCGAAGCTCCATCAATTCTATGAAAATGGTGCGAAATCTTTACAGCAACATCCAGTGGAACTACCAGTAGTGGATCATGCAGTTCGAAACGTTTGTAGTTCAAGATTTTGTGTCAACCGCTTGCTAGACGCTCGATGTTTTTCGGTTTTATTTTTTATTGATTTTTTTTCATCACTTAACCCTTTTAGTTTAAAAATCATCATGGGGTTTCACCTGTGGCACCACTTTCCCTCAACCAGGCCATAGTGTATTTCCAGTAGTCCTTGGGAGGCCTCCTGAACCGAATTTACCGGAAGTAAAACTAACAATTGAACGAAAGGCAAGGGCTAGGTCTATTTCCGGTAAAATCGACCCAGGTGCACTCCGAAATGCATCAGAAATGCACATTGAAACGTCGAACTGAAAGAAACCTCATCCTCCGATCCAATGCTGACAAATTCTAAGAGTTCAGACCATTTTCACGAAATTTATGGAGCTTTCAACTTAGCTAATAAGCTTGAGGTGGCTTGTTTTCCAACTGGCCTGAAAATAAAGTTTTTATTTGGCAGGCCAAATCGAAAACTCGCCACGAAGTCCTTGAAGAAGCTTCTAAAGGGAAAAGATAGTTTAAAAAATCACAAGCGGCCGAACTAAGTAATTTTCACCTCGATTTCTTTTTCAATTTAAAGAAATATTTTATAAATTTTTCTTTGATCAGCATGCATTCGTGTATAAATGTAAATTCAAACGGCGTTCGTAAAATGCACATAAAAAAAACTGCTCTTATACTTTCTAGGCCGCTTGCGAGGGAACGATCTGCAAGCCCCCTATTCCTTTCCTACCCCTAGGTCTACGGATGGCCCCCGAAGGCTTTAGTTTTGGTTATGATTGTCTACAGGTCAGTAGTGTCCACTATGATTTTCAAGAACATGGTGTCGTCCCTGACATACGCGTGATTATTAAGTTCAGCTAGCGAGCAAAACATCGGGCACCCACTGGCGATGTTGGTTTCTCTTCTTGGCCTTTGGAAGGATGAGCTGTTCGGGTCAGGTCTGAACGCGTCAATTACGTGTTCCACGTTATCCTGATCTAGCAACATGAAGGTGACCTTCTGTCTAAATGGCCAGCGGAGTAGCGCGTCATACTGCCCACGCATGACCACAAAGAAGATGGAGATGTGCGTTCCTCTGCCCATTCCATCCCCATTCAGATAAATGCGGGCGCACATTTTGTAACCGTAGCGACTAGTGAAGAAGCACGGGCTATAGAAGGAGACTTGCTGTCCGGTCACTGCGTCGTTTCGTTTGCGCGCATAATCAGAAATCCTCCACAACAGCTGGCCATCATAGCTTGAGAACTCTTGCTGTCTTACGTATTCCTCCAAATCAGCCAGGGTTACGTTCCTGAGGGCCAATGTGTGCTCAATGGATTCAATCCTTCGGTCGTGCCTCCTGTTGCTCTCGTGTATGATGTCCAGTTGCCTCTTAATGTTACCGTCATCACGTCTCACCTCCTCCATTGTGCGATTGTTCTCGACTAGAAGTACTTCATGGTCAGCGGTTCTGTTTTCAAGATTGACTAGCCTTCTTGAGTTTTCACCAGATGGTAAATTCCCTTCAGCTTCAGGCAGACGTTGGACAGACGCCCCCGTTCCCGAAACATTCCTTGAAGCCACCTTTCTCTCTAAAAGGGTTATTCGTTCACTGTGCTCTCTTATTTTGGTCTTCTGGTTTCTTCTCTCTTCTGTACCACTTTGTAACTGGTTAAGAATATCTTGAACTACCCCATCAACGTTTGAAAGGAGCTGGGGATTTCTTGAGATTACTGAGGGATTTCGTGTCAAAATACCTTCAACCTCTTTGGTCATCTGCAAGGTTTGTTTAAGGAGCAGAGAGGTGTGAAATATATTTTCTTCTTCCAAATGTTTCTTTCTTTCTCGCTTGCTTAGGACCTGTTAAAATTTCACAAATATTATTTAAATTATTAATGAAGATACGAACTGTCTAAGATCAGGGTTAACGCTCCAATTTCGTTTGAGAACAGTTTTTACATTGCGATTCTTCACTATTGCTTGCATCGTAAAAAACAACCTGCGACACAATGATGTATATGTAAAGGGTACTTTCAGAGGCTTTGATATCTTGGAATGAGTGGAGAGCAGGGAGACTGTTTAAATGATTTCACACGTTCCTTTCCGGTGCGCTGTTAGAGAGTAAAAGGACTTAATATATCCTACTGACCTCTTTCTTTGGACAACCAATATGTGAGAATGGACACGGGCCCTCCACATTTTCACAGTCTCCAAAAACTGGGTCCTGGTGATCTCGCAGCTACAGAAAGAGTATTAATATCAATTGAATAATTAACAGAAAATAGCTTTATTCATTCCTTTACTCCAAATAGGGAAACCATCAGGGAACCTAGATATGAAGAAAATTTATCATTGTTTTGTTTAGTTAGCTCATTAGTGATATTTTTATTTCGAAAACAAATTAAAGACCACCCAAATTGCTAACATCTCTTTTTTCGTTTATAGTGCAATATTTGCCTGTCAGTGACAATAATTCATAATAATGATATTTTCATGGCTGTTAGGTAATCCGAAATTGTCAGAATAACTATTATTCTTTAATTTTCTTTCAAAACTCCCCAATTAAGGATTAATTCATTATCGTTTCAAACTATCCAAATCAATCCCTCGTTGGACAGTTTTATCAAATTAAATAACAATAGCTTGGCTGAAAAAATGCCTATTTAAAACCGACAAGCAATCTAATTAATAAATAATAGGACTATATGCTTGCCCCATAGGAAATAAGTGAATTTTAAAAATTCCTCTCACAACCAAATTGGACTCGGTCTACGGCCTCGTCCAATTTTAGCTCTCCTCATAATATTTTTTTATTCCATTATTTCCAAATTGGACAGCATGTGGGCTCGTTACATATATTAACAATAATGATTGTATTAATAGCATTAGTTCTTTATAATAGAAGCAACGATAAAAGTAACGATTATATATTTGAAAGCATTTTGAAATTGCACACCGGACTGATTGTCCTCACATAATTGAAAAAGATTGAAAATAATAATGAGTCATTCTTCGACTACTGTTTCAAATTCTGAGATGTTATTCAAACAACACCATTCTTATTCATCAAAATATTTTACCCGTCTACGAGGAATGTCCTCTCTGTTGCAGTTGCCACAACGAACTGGATATGCAGGGCAGTCCGTCTCCTGGTGCACCTGTAACACAGATCATCTACTGAAGACGAAACTCTTAAAAATGCTCTCTCATTATATTCACTTGTCTTCATTTTGATCGCCAGTTCAAGGGACCCATTACAAATCAAATTTCCTGGGAAGGTTTTGGTCGCACGTTGCCAAACGTATACACCAGTATTGCAACCACTGATTAGAGTTGCACACTACAGAACAGCAGAATTTTAACCACCTTCTTGAACAGCTTGAATCGACTCTATTTTGGTTTAACATTATCTTGAAAGTTACCGTGCAATTCCTTGTAGTTAAAGAGGAAATTCGTGTTTTACTTGTACAATGTATGTACTATCGTTTGACCCAAGTCCTGAATTCGCTATTTAGCGATGGTTCGTAACAATATACATCATTTCAGCTGTTATGATTCGTTCTGTCACATCACCATGGTATCAATACTACCTATAAACGGTGCTGTCTTTTCCTTATTTCCGTTCTTTTGGTAGCCTAAGGTTGCTTTGTCGAGGAGATTGTAATCATTTTAAATTATTCACGACTAAATGGCTTATTTAGCATCAGATTGTTACCAACGACAGATCTAAACAAAACACAACACTGGTCGCAATTAGCTAGGGCTCAAGCTGCTCGCCCTAGTTATGATTGTAATCAAGGCCTATGGCCTTTTAATTTTTGATCCTTAAAGTAGCAACAATATACGAACAACATTTCCAGATAGTTCACCTTCATTTTGTTCAGATTGATCTGTTGCTGACAAAATGGGCACTTTTCTAATCTGTACATGCATTCCTCCTTTAAATGCTTTGTAAGGTCAGCCTTTTTCACTAATACATCACACTCAGGATGAACGCACGGTAATTTCAGGAACTCGCAAGTTGAGGTATGGCTCTGTGATAGAAAAAAATCACATTTTAGTGTCTCTTATCAAAAAATTAAAACTTGGCCCACATGAAGAGGCAGATTTGTTTAAATGTCACTGTTCATTCCAAGAATGGTAGAAATACTTGAGATGATTCTTTTATAGAAACAGAAGCTTGAAATAAATTTAAGGGGCTTGGAAAACCTTATCCGTTAGCGAAGTAAATCTTAGAATTAGGGACTATCTCTGCTTCGGTCGACTTCCCCATAATTTTTCTTCTCGAAATCCACTTCGACGTCATCGGATCAAAAAAAGGAGGTGATGAAGCAGTCGTAAGATAGAATAAATATTTACCTCTAAATGTCTGACTTCTCCCTTCCAATGGCACCCGTCATCCACGAACGTGCAGTAAACGACAAGAGCAAGTATTTCTCTCCGCATGAATTGGTCTGCAAAAACCTGAAAGAATGCAATTGCATGGTGTTAAGAGATAATCATGACTAATTTGTTGAAGAGATAAAATAATTTATACTCAGAAATTTTTTTCTATGAAGTGACTAAAGCCCAGATGACATGCATGCACCTAAAGAAAATCGTAAGATACTTGATTATACGGAACAGTTAAATGAAACACAAACCTAAAAGAGCATGACAATCAGGTACGAGAAAATCCTAAGAGTGCACGAATTACTTGCCAAAAAATATGAATTAAAGAGAACTGTGTCAAGTAAAGCGGATAAACAGTAGACTTTTGTTTGGTGATCTGAAAAAGATCTCATATTGCCATTTTGGAACACTGGTAGCAACAACAAGGGGGGGATTGGTGTCTATTAGAAACCGTAAAATCGCAAAAAAAAAATTAGATCAAAACCAAAAACCGAATGCAAAACCGTCTAAACCGATAAATTCGCATATCTCACTTGTTAAAATCCTAATCGATCTGAAACTGTGGTTACAAGTGGAGCAAAATCGGTTTCGCGAGTATTCGATATCAACAAAGGCGTATGAGTGTTGCTCAGATTGAAGAGAAACTGGAAGCCCAATATGAAAACCAAAAAAGCACATCGGTTACCAAATCCGAGTACCCGTCAAAATGTTTGACGAAAACCAAAACCAAATGCTGAAAACGGAAAATCCGCAAAACGCAGTGAACAACAAAACCGAAGAACCGACGTTCTTTGGCACAAAAACCGATCTAAAAAATAGCCAAAACCGCAAAACCGGCAGACCCCAATGCCCCCCTCAACAACCTTAACCTACACTCGGGAATGGAAGCGATATAGTAAAGGTGAGGTTGAACGGTAACGGGAACACGTACGTTTGCTTTTCCTACAAGCTTCTTACAAGTTTATATTACAACAGTTTGCTTATATTGCTTTTAAATGGCATAAGATGTATCCCAAGACAGCTCACGATGCACTGGCAATGGGAGTATGCGTTTAACGCGGGGTTAAAGTCTCGACGAACTGAGTCTTGCAAATGACGTGACTTAATGAGAAGGTTCCCAGAATTGTATACAAGATCCCAGGTGAATGAGGTTCAGTTCACATCAGCGAGGACGGTAGACCTTTACAAGCGAGAATAAGAGGGCACGACAGGGACATTCTACTTATCCATTCCCTCGCCATCCCGCTAATAAGATTTGAGCCAGACTTCCTTCTTTTTAACTAGCTACTACTCGTAAACAACGATATTCGTCCTTTGAATGAAAAAGGAACTATGTACGTTTTGTCTTTTCCTTTTTCCTTCTCCATTTTAATTGCGTTGCGTTACCCGTTACTTCTACTCGTATGCAAATTTTGCGTACAAGTCATAATTTAGCTCAACTGTTATGACGCCATGCAATCGAAGCAAAATGTTTGGAACTGTAATCACGTTTACCAAAGCAAAAAATAAGTGTGTTATTACAGGTGCCCTTCTAAGCCAGTGGCATTAATGAAACGTCTTTCGTATATGCCCAATCAGCAAGCTCGAGATTTGGTGATGATCTAATCTGAATTCGCCAATATTAAGGACTGCCCAAAAGCCTTCCCTTCAGTGACCGAAATAAACGCTGGTATTAATGAGATCTACTCTGATTTTCCTACTTAATTCGCTTTTTAATTATAAAGATTATATACGATAGCCATGATTTGAAAGAGACACAAATGCAAGAAACAAAATCCAAACCTGTGTGGGTAGAAGCCTTGTCTGATCTTTCAAACAGATCATCACCATGGATGTTTCATCCCTGATGTAAAAAAATCGTCATAATTTATGTGATGTCAGCAGGAGACATGAAGATATCTCTCTAATGTAGGTGGTGTAACCAGTACGTATTTAGCGATCAAAATAAAATAACATAAAAGTGCGACAGTAAAGTGATCGTAGATCTTAGAACGTACACTTACTTAATGAGATTCATCAAACATGACTGGCAATAAAAATGTCCACAACTTGTCTGCATGGCGTCTCTTAAAAGCAATAAACAGTACACGCAAAAGTACTTCTCAGCCACAGCCTCCATATCCTTTTTTGAAAGAGGATGGCCAGGCATGCTTTATGTGGAATGGCCAAGAAGAGTTTCCTCCGAATATGTGGAAAGTTTATGTAACTTTGTGCACTTGAACCTGTAATTATAATAACACCGTGAAAAAAAAGCATGAGTACTAAAAGAAAACGAGAGTGTACATAGAAAATGAAACTTATCCTATTTCACTCTTAACAATTGGATTATGAGCAATGAATATTGGCCGCGGTTTTTTTTTTTTTTTTGCATTTTTATGGATCAAATCGAAGTTAAGGTCCATAAAATCGCATAAAAAAAAAGAAAAAAAAGAGAAAAAAAAGAGAACGAAGCTAATATCCAGCCATCTTGATGGACAAGTTTCGTCCATAAAGGATTGATTATCAGGCAAAAAGATTTCTCTAAATAAGAATCAAGAGTGACTTCTTTATTTCAAAAGGCGTGAAAGAAGCCAACTTCTTTGTAGCACAATAAACCTATTTTAACTGTCTTCTACCACTTTCTTAACTTTGTTAGTCCGCTTTAAACACTGTTTTTCTTACGCGGGTTCAAAGCGGGCAATCCCAAGGGGCCCATCTTGCCCGCTTGGGTAGCCATTTGGGAAACAAGATTTGCTCCATATTACTGGCGCAGCCAGCTATGCAATAAATGGATTTCCAGCCCGGAGAAAAGCCGTAACAACACACGTGAAAAATATCAATTCTTTTTTGAACGTGTGTTTGATATCGCCAATGAGAAGCTGATACGTCACTCGCCTTTCGTACCGCTCTGACATGTTAATCAATAAAGGGCAATACTCGCGCCTGGAACGAAAATCGACAACTGCAAGATTTGCCAGCGGCCGATTTCGGCCGTGCACAAGAAAATATTTCTTCTGTCGGTAAGGAAAAGTCAATTCGCCATTTTCTAAACGAGCGGCGGTCTGAGTACGATTTGCGACCATAAAGGCTCCTGGGATCGTTTGTAGGGACAGCGTGAAGGTAAACAAACATGGTGCACTATAACTGCTGTATTCTAGGCCGCACTAATAGTTACAGAAATGCACCTAACCTTCAGTATTATAGACCCTGCTATACGTAGAAAGTACGTGGTTCTTATGAGGTACGAGACGCTGAAATTAGACTCTACGAGTACGCGAATTTGCTCAGCTCATTTCGATGGAGGAGAAAAACTTAGCAAGACACACTTGCCTTCAATTTTTCGGGTCATCCTCGGTGTAAAGACCTGACGAGGTTTTCTTTGTTTCATGAGGTATTGTTTTGCTGTACCCTATTGTTTGTAATGTTTTGTTGTCTTTGTTTTACGTCACTCGTGAGCTTCACAGGTTTAGAACACACTTGCCTTCAATTTTTCCATGGACAAAACCGACAGCTCCACGTAGAGAACTCAAGAGGGCCAGTTTCAAAGATGTGCAGAAAATGGAGCAAACCAAAAAAAAGAAAAACAACACTTGCTCAAATTGCTCAAATTACCACTGTTGTAATTTGCTGTTCACTTCTTTTATGTTATTGTTTTCTTTCTCCAACTGCTGAATCTCTCCCTTTAGCTTAACAATTTCTTGTTCACTTGTTTGTATTCTGTTTTATAAACTGTTTAGTTGGTCTCCAGTAAGTAATGTTTGTATTTCCACACTGGTACTGGTGTCAGTATTAACATTAATATTTTCCGACTGTTCCTCAAATTTAAAGTTCGCTTCCAGTGGTAACTGAGCAAGTGTTGTTTTTCTTTTTTCGGTTTGCTCCATTTTCTGCGTATCTTCGAAACTGGCCCTCTTGACTTCTGTACGTGGAGCTGTCGGTTTTCTCCATGTAAAAATTGAAGGCAAGCGTGTTCTAAGTTTTTCTCCTCCATCGAAATGAGCTGAGCAAATCCACGTACTCGTAGAATCTAATTTCAGTGTCTCGTTCCTCATAAGAACCACGTACTTTCTACGTATATCAGGGTCTTTAGGAATTCTATAATACTGAAGGTTAGATGCATACCTGTAACTATTAGTGCAGCCTGGAATACCGCAGTTATAGTGTGCCATGTTTGTTTACCTTCACTTTGTCCCTCCAAACGATCGCAAGAGCCTTTATGGTGGCAAATTGTACCCAGACCGCCGCTCGTTTAGAAAATGGCTAATTGCTGAGAATTAAAATGAAATGCTTATTTTTACGTGATCACGCGCTCAGCACAAATCAATTTGTAGAGCTATGATTGGTTGACAGAAATACAAAACGTAATCTATATGCCACGAGGTTTTCGTGGCAGAGTATGTGTAAGTGAGAATCGAAGACACGAAGAATCAACTTTTAGGAAAAGTCGCCCGAGAAACTGTTTTCAAAATAACAGAATACGTCGATGTAACTACATATGGAAAAAATGTAGTCTAAAAACGGTGTAGCATGCAATCAGAACACCAATTGAAGGATAACGTAGTGCACTGTGACCGCTATCTGTAGATTAACCATGGTAGAGCTGACGAAGAAACAGGTAAGATTTCCGAACATAAAATTTAGATAAATGTCATCAGAGTTATATTACTTTTTATAAATAATAAATAAAATATGTATATATAATAAATATATGTATATATAAATATATGTATATATGTATATATGTATATATATGTATATATATATATGTATATATATAACTAACTGCAGACAGTACTGTTTCGGCCTTCTGGGCCTCATCAGTGCAGTGCTAATGCTAGGATGGAGGAGAACCAATATGGTCACCCCAAACGATCCAACCTTTGTGGTATCGTCTAAGTCATGCCAGAGTGCTCAAACTAGAGTACACTAGCGAGCATGCGCAATTGCAGAGCAATGACTCATCCTAGTTAGAGTGCTCAATTTGGACATGAAAGCAAAGCTTTGTATGCCAAAGAGCTATATCTATATATAAATATATGTATATATAATAAATAATGATCAAAGTCAAACGCTCACTATACTGAAATAAGAGGGATAAATTTGGGCGAAAATTAGTCAGAACACTAGTCAGTGTTCCAGAAATATCCTTTACATTTCAACTTAGCCCTTTCAGAGACTAAATGAAACCATGTGGCTACCGCATAATTATTTGGACTTTCTCCAAATAAATATGCTGTTTTCGTTAAGGAATAAGTCACTTCAGAAAAAGCCTCTTACAGACAACATGCACAACAAGTTTCATTATTTTGCATCAAATTTAGTTTCTTTTCCTCGAAATATTAAACAGATTTCATAATTACAGGCAACAGCTGTGCAATACGTCAGTTTGACAGACGAGAACCCACACTGACGAAAATGTGAATATCAATATGAACAACTTACCCGTCGCACAAAATAATATCTTGGAACAACAAGTAAATTCTGTTTTTGAACATATTTTGCGAAAAAATTGTAAAGAAAAAAACGCTATCCAAGCAAAAAATGTCTAAATACCGTGGGGAAATTTTATTATTACTATTATTATGGTTTTTTTGTTTTTTTTTTTTTTTCTTTTATCTTAAACGCCGAGCAGATGATTCAAAATATGCTTACTTACAATTTATGCTTTGCGTTTCATAAAAATAGTTGTGACTCAAAACACGAATTATCACACAAATGAAAAGGATCCTAAGTCATTCACTACCATTTACATAGCAAACGTTTGATTTATCTATAAAAGTATATAGTCTTACGAATGATTTTTCATAAAAATTATGCGAGACGTTTGATTAAACTATAAGATAGCTACGAATGTGAGTTCATCGACCGCTGTCTCACCTAAATCAATTATGTCGGTGGAACAAACCAAATAGTTAAACCTACCCCCATTTACGACAAAATCTTGCTAAAACTAATCGAGAAGGACTAAGACCTTCCCTTTTCAGTCGATTAAACCACCATTAAAGGAAAAGTGGAAATTGTAAAGGGATAATATAATCGTACCTGTGCAAGAAAACAGTTATACGGATGCGTTACTGTGAATATCATTAAGACTAAAGATGATGAAGCATTTTATGAATTTTACTTCAGTTTTGGAATCGATCGAAAGCCTTCCTAGACACAATCTCACTCTACATTTTGCTCATCCTGACAGAAAAGGCTGAAGTTAGGGAAATCAGCATCTTGTGTCCTCGATCAAAACAAAAACCAATTAAATATCAGGTTAAGAACATTACATAGTAGACAGCAGAATGTAGAATGCTATGTCGGGTGATAGAAATCGGGAGTGGAACTTACTTCTAAATCCAGAAAAAAATTCCCCTTTTTCAACATTTCCAAAACGCAGCTTTGCGAATTAATCTCTCTGGAGTATTATGATTAAAATCTGGGGGGGCGGGGAGCGGAGGGTAAGTTAATTAAAGGCAAGAGTGGGGTGCAAAGGACAGGAAACGAATTCGTGTCAATATTGTACCCTTGTAAGCTTCACGATGCCAGTTTTCTTGGTTGGGACTATAACCATGAAGTGAATTGAGCTAGTTGCCAAATTTGAATCTGAAGCAGATCTACATTTGTATTGATCAATAAAAAATAAATTTCAGTTACGTATTTGTTCACAGTCAAAACTCCCCCATGTGTGGGCACGAAAAAACAGAGTGGAGGCTTTGCAATTGTATTACAGAGGTGTCTGTTATAAAGAAATTACCTCGATGACCTCTCTTTTTAAGACGCCGCTGAAAGTTCTAGAAGTGTCTAGTGACTAAACACTGACAACTGCGCATCAAATTTTATTCATAGAACTATTAAGGAATGGTCTTACAGAAAAACAAAACGAACTAGAGTCTGCACATTGCCATGTCACAATGGAAAAGTTATGTTTTTATCAGTTTACAAGAGTGGCGAGCAGTGACTCGCATCTTAACACATGCACCGATTGCCCCTAATAACCTAAATATCTTATCAAATCACCAATTCTTATTGCGGAACTGACCCTATTATCCCTCAACTGACCCTATCATACGACACCACAAAGACATGGTTAACAACACTACAAATAAGCGTTCGTCGAATATTTTTTTCTTTAAGACGAAAATACAAGAGTTTTAAGTTAAACAATAACTGAACTGGCCAAGCCACAAATTCGTAGCACTCTGGCATGGCTTAGACGATTCCACAAGTGTAGGATCGTTTGGGGATCCATATCGGTTCTCCCCCATCCCTCCCCTGCCTATTTCCAATTAAGTCTCGTCTAACCGTACGAAAGTGGTTGCCATGAAAAAAGAAAAAGTAGAACAATTTAAATCCATTTGACTGGCTTACACGCGCGAAGTTTGAATGCTGATCAGTTAATTACCACTATTTGCCCGTTTTTACATCTGTGCGGCTTTAGCCGTTAAGGGAATTTCCTTACTAAAGCGAAACAAAATCTTGAACAACCTGCCGGAACACATCTCGAACCGCTGAGTTTTAGTTGACTATGAGATAAGGCCGCTGCTACCTGTTATTAATTACAAGTAACATGTCAGGTACCTAACTCAAAGATCAAAAGAGTAATACTGAGGGCGTAGTATTACAGTAAAACCAGTAATAAGGATTTCTGAATCTGCATCGATCTGGTGTAAAAAATGTAATTTTCGATTAAATTGCACATTTATATCAATTAAAATATCTCATTATGTTTCAGGGATCTTAATTCACATTGTTAGGGTTACACAATCCGACAATTAAGTATTTGTGAAGGTGTAGTCTGATCGTCCGGGTGAGTGTAGTCCTGAGAAGGACTGTTGTCGGTGGCAGTGACTGACGTTTCGACAACCTGTGCGGAAGTCATCATCAGAGTCACTTGACTCTGATGATGACTTCCGCACAGGTTGTCGAAACGTCAGTCACTGCCACCGACAACAGTCCTTCTCAGGACTACACTCACCCGGACGATCAGACTACACCTTCACATGTTACCCCCGGGTTCAAACCATTTACTGAATTAAGTATTTGTTCGTGTATGTGTGGTTTCCCAACTGTCACCGAATGCGACTCAACCATATTAATGATCTGAATTTTCGTATGAATTTGCGTCCAATGAGCCAATTGAGGGCATTAAAAGCTGGTTAGCAATTGCAGTTCTTCGAATAAACCGAGATATCTCCGAAAGAAAGATTCTCTGCATCCCTTGTGCTCCATTCAAACTTCCAATGGAAGGAGACCCCACTCTTGATGGAGATGTTGAAAACAAATGCTCATACAACAACTCAAGGCATCCTCTGTAGGGAAGAAGCCGCTCCAGTATCTTGAAAAATGTTTGATGAAGCTAATTATCTTGGCGTCTTCACGTAAAATGTGCTTTTGGAAAAAAACAAAGTTGAAAATGTAAGCAACGTTACACAATTAGATCAAAACTGCTTGTCCATAACATTGCCAGCAGTGTTTCATAGCCAAGTTAGCACATACGTAACGTCCATATCAGCAATTCTCCGTATCAGCAATTCTCAGCACAGTTGTCGTTCTTAATCATTCACTCTGAAACTGATCAACCTCTCTTTTTCTGCGGGCACTCTCCCCTCGCGCTGGAAAACTGCAAAGGTGACACCTCTTTATAAGAATGGCGCTGAATGGGATCCGCGTAACTATTGTCCCCATTTCAGTATTACCGGTAATGTCGAAAGTCTTTGAGCGCCACATACATAATACGTTATACACTTTTCTCTGCGATAATAAGTTCATTTTTTTCAAGGCAGTCCGGAACAGAAACTGAAACTGCCCTCATCGAGATAATCGATGACCTCCTATCAAGTTAACTTTAGACAAGGACAGGATCTCTGGAGTGGCTCTCATTGAGTATTGCAAGGCATTTAATATGCTCGATTATGAGCTATTACTGAAGAAACTGAAGAAACTGGAGGCATATGCCATCGTGAATACGGAGCTTAAATGGTGTCGGTCTTATTTGACTGGAAGGAAGCAAGTAGTTCACTTAGGTGGAAAGAAGTCAACTGAGGCGCCGATGGAACATGGAGTTGTATTTTAGGCCCACTATTCTTCATACTATTCATCAACGATCTACCAGTACACGTTAGTTCACAAGTAGATCTCTGTGCTGATGATACTACCCTTACAGCATCTGCCCACTTTAATAATTCACCTGAACTTAAACTTTCTCTAAATATCTCTGCAAGTGAAATACGTCACTGGGCCGACTCCCAATCAACGAGTCAAAGTCCGAAGTGTTAACGATCACCGGAAAGCGCCTGGCGTCTAAGATCAATGAGGAACTTGTTGTCACAGTTGAGGACAATAGGGAGCTTAAGATACAGACGTTTGCGGGGCGACGACGACGTGGAGACCGATTAAGATTGGGGCGAGATTGACTGCGCATGCGGCCCCGCCGTCGCCCTCACGTCGGCGACGTGAGATCAGTGAGTTTGCCTTCGTGGTGAAAACGTGAGTTGATCTTGTTTGTTTTATTCAATATACTGCCAATTTTGTCACCTTTATTAAAGTGATTGCATTATCACATTTCGCCCAAATCATCACACGATGTCTCAGCCAACTCAAGAGACCTTTTGTTCTCTCTTTAGGTTAAAATGACCAAGGCAACACAGTGAAGTCCAAATCGTCGAGGTAAGTTTTGGGCACGTACGCATACAGTACTTGAATTCTCAACATAAAAGGGAATCTTTGCTTGCTGCCATTCTCTTTAACAATTCGTAGATGCACCTCGAAATCGTACACCTCAGATCTATGGAGATTTTCATTTGGAAAATTAGGGGTTTTAGACGGAAATATTTCATACAAAAGGTCTACAAAACCAAGAACTCTTCATCGCTAATAAGATTAGCGTCGTAGTAAAGGACGAGGATGTGGCGGAATTCTTCAAACGTAACCATGCTACGACAAAAAAGCCTCAATTTATAAAAGCGAAACTCGACGAACTTCGAAGAAGTCGCAAAGGCCGGCCGTCATCAGAATCTCAACAACTTCAATTATGGCGCGAAAACGGCAACCTCTGACCCAGTTTACCTGGGTTGTCACGTCGCCGTCGCCCCGAAAACGTCTGTGTCGTAAGCTCCTTAATGGGAACGTAAATGACGGTAAAAGGTGCAACACTTTTAGGTTTAACAGCGGATAGTTCACTCTCATTTGATTGTCAAGTTGAAACTCTTTGCAGTAAGCTTGCCTCGCACATAGGTGTTTTGATTAAAATCAGAGCCTTTCTGTCACTTAAACAGTGATTGTTGTTCTATAATGCCATTATTCGCCCAGTAATGAGCTATGCTGACGTCCTTTGGTCATCATGTGACAAGGAATTAAATTACACTTTAATAAGCTGGGATGGATAGCTTTTTATGAACAGAGTAAAATTAACAAATGTGCAATTTTTTTGTAGGCGCGTAAATGCCTTTATTATATACATACCGAGATTTACGCGCCAAAAAGCATCGAGATAAAAATAGTCTCTTCGCGCTAGAGGAGCCAGCTGATTGGTCATACGATTTTTTTTCACTTGTGAAAAACGACGTATCGACGCTCCGATTGGCTATATCATTATTTTCACTAGTGAACAATACCGTGTCGCTCGCTCGCCGCTCCTCTTGACTGACAAATAGCACATTTCTAAGAGCTTAGGCG